CTCTTGCTCAGGCTGATCTCAAACTCCGGAGTTCAAACGATCTGCCCACCTCAGTCTCTCAGAGTGCTAGGATTACAGACGTGAGACACCACGCCTGGCTGTACCCAATTGTCTTTTGAGACTACATATTATTTCATAGCACTACTATAACATACTGTAACAATTTCTCAGTCAAGAACTATTAATGTTGCCTCTAGCTTTTCACCATGACGAGCAATGCTGCAGTAAATATCACCAGTTTAAATTTTAATTTACTTTTTAATTTTAACAGGACTATGGAAGCTGAAGTCGTTGCAGAGTTTGGATCTGTCATTCAATGGGATATTGCAAATCGGGTTAACTGATTTTCACAAGTGCCTGCAACTGGAGAACCTCTATTTAAAGAGCAACAAGATATTCAGAATTCACCCAGAAGCCTTCAGGGATCTCAAAAAATTACAGGTTCTAAAATCATTTTTGTAACATTTCAATACGCTGACATGTGGGCAGTGATATTCGGAGAATATGTCCATTGAAGAATTTCTTCATGTCCAGTTGTACTGGCTGTTAATCAAAAAAGATAACATCATATTGTAACATCCCCCAAAAGAGCTGAAGTCACTTTCTTGCCTTAAAAATCTTGCCTCAGAAGCCATAGTCATGAACACGAATTTTACTGAGACATACTAGCAGCAAGAATTGGCACATTGTTTTTCAAAATCAATTTAAATCCAACCAAGTTCCCACTTACCAGTTGGCAAGAAATTAAATCTTAGCTAAGGCTGCCACCCTAAGCTGCCAGGTCCAGCAAAGGTCTCGGGGGTTTTATGGGATCTGGAATGCTCGGGGAGGTCTCTGAGCCACCCCGGTGGAGGCTGAGATGTCACCAACCCAGGACTAGATGGGCCTCTGAAGGCAATGACCCTGTTGCTTCCATGACAACACTGGGCCCAAAATAATAAAAATGATCATGACAATAGTTCACACCTGTATAGCACTCACCACGCTCCACATGTGGTTCTAAACATCAGACCCATATTTAGGAGGATCTGTGTCACTTTTGGGCACAGCAGGCACGTGGAACCCGACCCAGGATTAACACCTGGTGGCTCTTCCAGCAAGCAGTAAGGAGGGAGGCAGGGAGAAGAGAGTGCCGGAAAGCAGACCCGAGACAGGATGTGGGGGCCGGCCCGCAGTAAGTCTCCACCGAGTTTTAACTGAAAGAAGGGCACACCCAGATTGTACATAAAGAGAACAGGCTACTGTGCCACTTAAAAATTTATATATGGCCCGATGGTGGTGTGCCTCAACGCCTGTAATCCTAGCACGTCTGAGCGCGAGCGCGGCGCGAGCATTGCTCAAGTCAGGAGTTCGAAACCAGCCTGACATAGAGTGAGACCCCGTCCTCTACTATAAATAGGAAAGAAATTAATGCCAACAATATGT